CTCAGCCCAGAAAAGGAAAAGCAGAATTATTTAGAATGGAAAGTGAGCACAGCAGCCAGGTAAACAAGAAAACCATGTGAACCAGACAGGGAGACAGTGTATGTCTGCTCCTGCTCTTTGCGGTAGGCTATAGACAGAGATTTTTAATCTCAAAGCCATCAGTAAGATTTTGGAAGAAAAAGAAAGAAAAACCAAACCACTGGGAGAGGGTTTACTCCAGACTCTGAAATCAGATCTCTACCAGCCTAGGTGGTGGTGGTGATGGTTCCTGCACTGTCTGCAACAGCAGTGGCTTTAATATGCATATTAGTAGGTTCCTACCTTCCTGGTTTGTGCTGTGGCGTTTCCTTTCTTTTCAAGCACTGGCAGTGCACAGCTCTGCCTAGCACGAGGCTCTACAACAGGAGCACAGGGGGACCCTGGACCTAAGGACAGTTGTTACTCTGTCCAAGCACCACGTAACAGACTAAAGAACTGGTGGCATTTCCTTTCAGATTAATTTTGCAGAAATTTGCACATTCCCTTTTCATTGCTCTCAGGTACAAAGAACAGTCTTGAATTGATATTACTCTAAAGATGAGGCTGATCCCTCCCTCACTTTTGATACATATAAAGACATATTGCAAACAGCAGCTATAAAATCCCATCCTTCTCTTATACCTAGTCTAAAAATGGTGGAATTCTGTATTCACTGCGAGTCACAAAGGTTTTGTTGATACAGAAATGGTACACAGAATCCTTTATTCTTCCTGAGAGGTGCTTCTTCACACTTGCAGATCCACTGTCTGAGTACAGCCCCAATAGGGTCTATGTACCATATCCAGAAGAAACAGTACCTTATGGAAGAACTCTGTGCCATGATCACAGATGACCACCTAGAGATCTCCTCCGAGTTGTGGATTTGCCATTCTTCACTACTGGGAGCCAGAGGTTGCTCTGAGATCGCCATGTAACTTGTTCATTTCCCTGGTAATTTGCAAAGCCTGCTAGAAAATGGGAATTCCTCCCATTGGGATTTTCACAGGGAATACCCCCATGTTACATTTTCCTTTCAGCAAATAATGATTTTCCCCATGGGATGAATTAAAAAAAAAAAAAAAAAAAATCAAGTGTATGGCAAAGCTGCTGCTTTGCTGCTTTCCAAATCTGTTCTTTGCTGAAGTATGGGCCTCCCCTCTTACACTTTCTGCTTTTTAGCCAGAAAGGAAATCAATCTGTTATTAGATGTCCTTCACTTGGCTTACTGCTAAAAGTACAAGTGTTAGTTTCCTTCACAGCTTATAAAAACGTGTGTGGTTAGGGTGTGTTTTAGCACAGCTAAAATACCAAAAACCAACCCACCATCCCAAAACCAGAGTACTGCCCCACAAAAGAGGTCAAGAGAATAGGCTCTGGCCAAAAATATGCCAGCGCTATGACATTCAGCTGTTCATTCTCTTGTCTTTACAAAGAAGCCCGTATTTCCTCCAGTACCCCTCAGAGTCAGCAGTGTCCTGGCTGCATCTGCTCCATCAACTGATTTTCTATTGCATTTTGCACAGGCCTCTCTACCCCTCTGCACTTAGGGACTGGCAGTGACCTGCTTTGTGTGTCCTGCACACAGCTGCAATATAGTTCTGAGCTGCGCGCAGTCACATAACATGGCTGTTTTCTGCCCCTTTTAGTGATGTAGCAGCGTGCCTGTCCTCAGGATCCCCTCTTCCTCTGTTGTCTGCTCCTGTGCAGGCTGTATGCTGCCACTGAACTCAAAGACTAGGTTGTTATCAAACTCTTCATTAGGAGGCACAGATCTGAGTGACAAAATTAAGCCTCAGGAAATGAACAGGCGAGAAGAGGTGAGAGAACATTTCACACAGGCCACAAACCTTTGCTTCCTTTCTACCTCATACTTTTTTACTTCTGCTGCACAAAAAGCTGCAGCTACAGAGTCTTCTCAACACTTCCTATTCACCTCAACCCCACTTGCATGCTTCTTTTGGCCTTGCTGAGCTTTGTGGTGAACTTCTTATGCGTCAGAGTTTCTAGCTGCAAAATATGTTCCATTTTGTGCCTATAAACTGCCTTTTCTGTTTCTCTGCTGTGCTTTACATGCCAGATTGGAGGTTATACCAAGGCTTTGTGTTTTACAATGGAAGCACTTATGAATAGAAGCTGATTAAGGCTTTGCTTTCCATCCTGCTTTTTGGAAAGGAATGGGCTGTAGTGAAGCTCAGATACTTCTGAGAAATGACACTACTGCCCAGTGATTCCTGGATTTGTCTGCTTTGCTGATCCTGACTGCGCTAACTTGATGGCTGTCATTGCATGATGGCACTAGGGAAGACTGTGGTTCTAAGGGGTGCCATATATTGCCACCCTTTCTTTTCCAGAGTCTCACTTTTCAGCTTAGATCTATTCCTATTAAGAATTTGAGGTGATTGTGCCTACCTTGCTGCATATAGCCCACTAGGAAAAGAAATATAAGTCCCTACATTATATACTTACAACCTCTAGGTTGGTTTTGAACCTATTGCTTTGATACCCTCCCTGGAAAGCATCTTCCACTTGAAGATACCTGGATGTGGGTGCCAGGAAACCACGCAGTGCAAGCTGAGTCCCCGTGGATTTCTTTCAAGCTACTCTCCAAGTGCCTCAGTCCTGTGTGAAAGATTACATGTGTGTCTATATTACAGACAAGTAAAAACATCTAGGTGGAAAAATAAGAATGACACAAATCTGAAGAAATAGCTCTCTGAAGATCAGCAGCTACCAGCCGCAGGCTGAGAGAGGGCAAGGTCTGTAAGGAACTCTCCTGAACAGAGGGTGGAAGAAGGTGCTCTGAAGCTCCTGTCTGGCTCAGCTGTGAGGCCAGACTCGAGGGGACTCAGCTTTGTTTAGTGAGTGCTGTGAGGCCTTCCTGTAACACGCCTTAAAAGGGAAGCTCTGCCGGAGGTGGCGTGAGTCATGCGAGGGAAATGTTCAGGCTGTTCCTCAGACAAAAGCAAATCCAAATTCCTGAGAGTGGTCTCACCCCTTTGCTATCTGCAAGCACCAAAAACCCAGGGGAAGACTTCTTCCCAGCCTTAATCGAAAGTCTCTCGGCTGAGCTGCCTGATAAGTGAGTACAGGGACTGGAGTAGGGAGGGATACACAGAAAAAGGCCCAGGAAACATCTTTGTAGTTACACTCTGTTTATTGCCGTGGAGATCTCAGGAAATGGCAGTTTTGGTGTTTGGCAGCTCAACAGAAGGTTCTGCACCTCCAAGGAGGTTTTATCTTTTCCAGTCCTTCTTCCACGAGGGGCTGACCTTTCTCTCCTGAGCCATATATATTTTGTATACCCCTCCTTCAGTAAAACCCACTGTGTTGTAATGTGTGTACAATTATTAGCTTAGTCCTGATAAGTCACAAGATGCTGAATATTAAAAATCTAGAAAATACAGAATATGAACTGCCAGAACATTCAGCAAGCAGCAAATCCCACATATCCCATCCCAGACCTGGAAAGCCATATTAATGATAACCAGTTTAGTGCTGTTTAGCAGAACTTGTGTCCTCACAGCAATCCTTGGGCACAGGAAAGGCACCAGGGCAAGAAGGATGGAGGGAGGAGAAGGATCACGATAGCTGGGATCAATATCTGGCTGATACCCAGTCACTGGACAGTGATGTGGCACTGAATGGGCAGCAGGCAGGAGTTTGTCTTCTCCAAGCAGGCTGCAGCTGTGTGGCAGAGAGGGATGCTCTGTACTCATGTACTGACTCTTTTGTTTGGGGTTTCATTTTCCTAACAACTACTGCACATTGTCATTTGTAGGGCTTTCTCGTGTAGGTTACACAAGGGCTGCTGATAGTAAATGCCAGCAGCTCTGTTAACCCTAAAGATCTGGGTCAGATTGTAAAACAATGTTTAAGTTGGTAACTGAGGGGACTAAAAGTTTCCTCACAAGTTTGGTAGTGAAAGCCGGGAGGAAGGCTCATTGTGCCCTCTAGTGTGCACAGCCTGGAGCTCCACTGGCCCCTCAGCATGAGGCATGAGGGAACTGAATCACAGAACCATAGAATCAGTCAGCTTGGAAAAGACCTTTAAGCTGAAGTCCGACCGTTCCCCAGCACTGCCAAGGCCACCATTGACCCATGTCTCCAAGTCTTCTGATCATAATACATTGATAACATGAACCTTTAAAAGCTGCTCCTCTCTCATTCTAACACTGGCCCTGGTATGCTGGAGGAAAAAGAGTAAAGATGCTGGATCATGCCTACGCAGCAGGCAATAAAGCAGCTATTGCTCATAAAGGAAGGTGCCACACTCCAAATCACTGTAGACAAGCTTCTATTCTCTACAGTGATCAAGCTCAGGACTATTGCTGAGCTTATGACCACCACACCCCACCCTTCCCAGGCTGTTCCTTGTCACTCAGTTCACCAGAGGGTGCAAATTTCTTGTTTCATTCACTTCTAACAGCTTTCAGCGTTTTTCCCCATTCTTTCTAATAGCAATCAGCTAAAGCATTGATTCCAGAGGAACATCACACTGTACTGCCTGGACCCTTGCCCAAAGGTCTTCAAAAGTCCTTTGTTATGTGCTGCCAGGCAATGGATAGAGCATAACTGCCAGGTAGCTTTTCAAGTTCCGCTCCTACACAGCAGCAGAGCACATTTGCATCTCCAGGTTTCACAGAAATAAGCCCTTTAGCAATGTGGAGGGGATTTTTTCCTTATTTTCCTCCCTGAAGAGTTGTAAGGTGCTTCTGGATGCTGTGGTGTCTGCTCCTCCTGGACTGAGCTGCTCTTGGGACAGGAAACTTGGGAGGCAGGAGTCTTCTCATTCATCTTCCTGAAATTCCCCAAGTATTCTGAAGAAATCATTGGGGTTTTATGGCAAAAGTTTCCTGTGGTACAGATGCTCTTTGTGAGAGCCAGAGACCATTGTTACGTACAAATGTGTGGTTTTCACAAAAGAGGTAGCAGCCTTTGGGAAGTGAAACCTTAAATCCTCCACTGACTCTGGTTTTCCACAGGACTCTATGTGCTGGTGGGAGCCGGAGCTCTCATGACCACAGTTGGATTTTTTGGGTGCTGTGGAGCAGCGCGGGAGTCTCAGTGCTTACTTGGAGCAGTAAGTAAAAGGTTTCAAGGGCCTGGGCTGCACAGCAAGATAATCCCGAAGCATATGTGTCACTAGTGGGAAGATATTTATTGTCCCAGACCTGGAATGCCTTCAGTCTTTTCACTGGCTGATCTAGCTATTGCAGAGATTCCATACATGAAGAAATTCCATTGCTTGTCTCATATGACATGCTGGAATTTCCTTCTGGCTTTTCTGAAGCTACCAACTGAGCCACATCTCTGCCACTTCCACCTTAGTTTGCATATAACAAGAAATCTGACCTGACTCTTTGTTACTGCCCCTGCTACCAGCTTCCTTTTGGTTACTGTGTGAGCTTCTTGAGGCTCAGGCCTGGATGAGGGACTGACTGGCAGTGCATGTAAAGCAGTATTGTGCAATGTTTAATAATGTAAGATTCTCTTCTTCATCTGCAGTTCTTTGCTTGCTTGTTGGTGATATTTGCAGCCGAGATCACTGCTGGAGTGTTTGCCTTTATAGGCAAGAAAGTGGTAAGTAGCAAGAAACTTCTAACATAATGAATGGGTACTTACAGACTCTGGCATGCAGTGACCTACAGTCTGGCTCTTACATTGCAAATCTTTCCAGAGACTTTTCCCAGGAAGACTCTGACTTTCTTATCTGGAGTCAGTGAGAGTTTGTGTTATCACCAGTCCAAAATGGGATGCATTCCTTCCCCCCCCGCCAAAGAAAATCTGCAGGTGTCATTCAACCTCACATCCACCAGGAACATCAAGTAGATCTGTATGATAAGAGGGCATTGCTTAGGAAAAGGGCAGAGATTCAAGCAGTGAACTTCTCCAACTAACAGTGTTTAACCAAAACATAGAATACAGCAGATGTAAATTCTGACCCATGCAGAGTGCCTCTGAATGCCATCAGGCCACAAAACCTCCTGTCTTTCCAATCCCGGTACCTCAGTTTACCAGGCATCATTTTCTGCTCTGGAGGCTGATGACACACCTGAAGTCTGCAGTGGATTGCAGGTAACTCACATGGAAAGTTTGATTTCTACAGGCAATACAGGAAGCCCAGAAGATCTATGAAGACATTTATGATGACTATATGAAAAACCCGGGGGGGAAGGTCAACAGGACTATCTATCACTTACACATGGCTGTGAGTAGTCCTCAACTTTAATACCTTACGTTGCTACTCTACCGTCACATTACCTTTTAAATTCAGAATGCCTCCCACTGAGGTATGAAAGAACAGAACTGAGTGTTACTTAGGATGGATCAAGAGGCTCACAACCTGGTTTCCTAATGGCTCTATCAGAATTCTTAAGTGATCCCTACCTCTGAAAGTGAAAATGGTCAGGCTTTTAAACTTCAGCTGATGCTTCTGGACCGTGTTGTGCAGAAGATACAACTCTTATGGCCCTTCTGGATATTAAAATCCAGGAAGAAATACTCACAAATGTAGAGGGAGATAAAGGTCTGAATCTCTCTGCATTTGTCAGAGAGAAAACTGACCCATGTCCTAGGACCTCCAGTGTGGCAGATCCTGTCACTGACTGAACCAAGTAGGTAAAGAAGCAAAAGCACGTGGGTGGCTCAGTTCAGGCCACCCAATAAGTTAGTGTGTGAATCAGAACTGGAACCTGCAACTTCCTGAATCTTGTTTATGTCCACCCTGTATCTACACTGCCTCCCGCAGAGATAAAGCCCAAGCTTTGTTTCTCCTTGCAGCATTCCCACGTTCTTTAGAACAAACATTTCACAACCTCAGACCCTCTTGTCCTTCTCCCATAGTTGTTATTTCTGACCCAAAAAAGAATTCCAAGCATTTTGTGGGAGATAGGCAAACAGGAAAAACAAACCCTCTGAAACACTCTGATTTATTACTGTCTCCAAACCCAACTATGTTTTGTCAGAACTAGATTCTGGCATTCTCTGCTGCAGCTTCTGTGTGTTGCACATAATTCTGCATGTGCTATTCGAACTTTCTGCTTTCTCCCTTTAACAACTCCTGTTTTCCTATAAGCCAGGGAGCTGCTTTCCCAAATCCACAAGTTTGCTCCGAGATCTGTAATAAAAACCCTACCTGGAAGTTGTTGTTAATACAAATCTGTTTGTTTGCTATGGCTTCAGACAACTGAAACCGATTTTTGAGTTGGAAGTAGCAATTAATATAGGGAATTTATTTATTACTTGTTCTGTATTGTTTGTTGTTATCTATTGTCTCACCTTCAGTATGAAACCAGTCTATGCTTTCTCCTTCCTTGATCCTTCATCTCTCCCTCATTTAGCTCCAATGTTGTGGTAAAGATGGTATAGAACAACAAATGGGACTACCCTGCCCAGAGAACATCCAGCTGCCAAAGGCAAGTATCCTCTGTTCTGGTTGATCTAATCACTTTTTTATGTCAATTGTTTAGTAAAATTGAAGATATTCTATAAGTAAAAGAAAGGAAGAACTTCCTTTTTACAAGTGCCAGCATGAAATTCCATATGAAATAGAGCAGAATGGAGGCAGAAATAAGATGGAAGTTGTACTGAACATACCCAGCCCTCATTGCTGAGGCCTTCTTACAGTACCCCATGGTAGCTGAGACAATATTACATCATCTGAAAAGTGGGAGGGATGTAGTAGAACAGCAGTCCTAAATGTAAAGCCCTGTGAAGGCTGCCTGCAAGGAGGTTGCTGACTAGGAACTTTGTTGGTCTTAAGAAGGATAGTTAGTTCTGTCTTGGGTGGAATCTGCTTGTGAGTGCAATGTTGAGCTGAAGGGCCAAACTTCCTGATTTGGCATGGCCCATTATAGAAAGGGTTTTAAATTTAAGGAAAACCGTAAGACGACTTGTCTGTGTCAGCTGGTACAGGGAAGAGATGTCTCACTAGAAAAGGGAATACACTGGGAAAATTGTCCTACAAAACACAAGACACAGATGGAAGAATTAATACAGTGTCTGCAGTAATATTTTTCCTAATATCTGTTGTTTAGAGCTGCTTGGAGTATATTTTTCTAGGAATAAAGATCTTTCCATGTTTTTTTTAACAGAGCTGCCTGGTTGAGATCCAGAAAGTAATTGATGCTAATCTGCATTTAGTCGGAATTGTTGGAATTGCAATTGCTGGCATCACAGTGAGTAAATCCATCTTCTCATTCTCAAATCTCTATCTGAGCCAGTACCCTGTCTCTTCCTCAAAGCTTTGTGGAAGGTCTTACAGCAACTGGCAAGATTCCTCAAAGGTGAAGCTATTCCTATCACTTTCAGTATATCTTCTCTCTGGGAACTGTCCACATTGGTGCAAGCAGACTTGCCTAACTTTGTTTTAGTAGTTCATTTTGTGCCCTTAGACAGGGTCCCAAGTATCTAATGGCAACCTTACTTTGTAATAGTAGGGAATGGAGTGCCCATGAACCAAACTGAAAATCAAAAGGCTGTAGCAGGATTTAATCTATTCTGCAACAACTACGGACTGACGCTTTAGGCCCTTTAAGGATCCATTCCTTAGATTTCATAAAGAATAGGGTGCCTAACTTTTGTACAGAAATGGCTTTCCAGGAAACTGCTGGCTCTAGCATTGGTTCAGTGCAAAGGATAGTTAATAACAGTTCTCCTAGGTCACAGACTCAGCACTCAGTAGGTATTTTGATAAAGGAACACTGCAGCATTTCTTTCCTAAACCTCCTTCTAGTTACAGAAGCTGTTTCACCAAACTGTGTCAAAGCATCAATAACTTCCCTTACAGTCCGCCTTCTCTCCCAGGCATGTATTGTATTCTCAAGGTCTGCTCCTCCACCACAGAGCTGTGACCAATAGATGTCACCCTGCCGCAAGGATGTGCCAGGTCGGGCAGTCTGTCAAACAGGCCTTTCCAGCGCTTGTGCCATGACTTCCTTCAGGCCCAGAAACCAACAGTAGCCTGAAGCAGCTTGAGGAACCAGAGCATGAGTAAAGAAATACACCTTTAGCTGCTTTGGTGAGCAGGAGGTTCCTGGACTTACGTGGACACTTAAAAGCAGATGAAGGTTTTATGCAAGTGAAAGAAACCATGGCATGGGGAAGGGGGATGAAACAATCTTGTGATTTGTACAAAATGTGAATGCACATTCAAAAATACAGCAAAGCAACACAGAGTTCCGGTAACCTCATTGCTCACCAAGCACTAGAAATATGAATCTCTCTTCTATGCCTTCCCACCTCAGCTAAAGCAGAAGTTATGGAATGATAACCCCTTCAGCAGCAGAAGCATGTCTGGACACTTTTTTTGTGCTTGTTTCTGACACTTCATGAGCAGGGTGAGATGCCTCCTTCTTCATTAGGGAGGTGTGTGGGGAGGGGATATGAACTCAGTGGTGTAACTGCCCAATAGTACTGCTCACCTTCAGTCATTAGCAATGAAGCTTCAGGAGGTAGCTGCTAAAACTGTAGCAAAAAAGCAATTTCTGGAGACTCTGGCAACACTCACTGTTCTTTGACATTCCCTCTAGTTACCCAGCTCCCTAACATGGATAGTTTTATATTTACTGTAGAGCCTTGGTCTTGAGTCATAACTGTTAAGAGCTTGGCTTTCTCTGCAAAACCACAATGCTCAGCACCAGACCTGGTTCCTCTGGAATCATCCTCTGCTCTTGCTCAAATATGTATACAATATTCCATGTTAAGCATTCTGAAATTCAGAACCTTTTGAAGCAATTCCAGGCATAACAGCAATAGTCACAGTGAAATTTATGTTGATAACATTAATGTTTGGGGCTGTTCTGCTGGCATTTACATTTAGGACAAAGAACACCGATAAAATCTTGGCTTTGAGTATCAGTGAAATCTCTTTGATGTTAACTGTATGATGTCTTGGGGTTTGTAGATGGAAGCAGCCACCTGCTACTCTGCAGTTACAACCTTCCGATTGCTCTGATATGCAGACTATTTTATAACTGTGTTGTAAGTAGATTCCTAAATCACATCCCTTCTCTTCTAGATCTTTGGCATGATATTCAGCATGGTTCTGTGCTGTGCGATCCGTAACACAAGAGACATGATCTAAAACTGTCACTGCACAACTGTGTCCCAGGAGTTCCAGACTAAGCTTACAAGAAGTGTTCTACCCAATTTAATAATTGTAATACATTTTAATCAGTATTTTAACATAATGAGGGTAAATATCCCATTAGAGGAGCAGGTGGATTGTATTAGTTACAGTAAAACAGAAGTGAACAAAAAAGGGGTTTTAAATGTACTTTGTAATGAAGAAAAGCAAAGGTGCATCTATGACTAATTGTTAATGTTTGTATATGTGCAATTAAGAGTTTACACATCAATAGACATGGTGTAAGCATATGCATATCTCTCTACATATGTGCATGAGTAGGTACCTGTCTAGGTATGTATGTGCAAATCGACTGTGCTGTGTGTGCATGTTTGCAGGCAGTCTTCCAGAGCCTCACTATGCAAGAGCGTGCACACCCCACATACACACAGTGCTTGGAACCCTTCATATCCAGCCCATTTGCCAAGGGTTAGCAGAGGAACAAATGCCACTTTAAAAAGGGAGATCTAGGATCTATTTTGTAATAGTTCTTTTCAAAGCCTCACAGAGTAGAATTAATAAAATTGGACTTTATTAAAACAAATCTAATGCCTAAAGGCCTGCTCCAGCAAACTCAAATTCATGTGAGGAGACCCACTGGCACCACTGGCATGCAGAGACTGGATTTGGTGTGGTTACCCTTCATGCAAATGCAGAAAGCTCTGGGAGAGGAAATACATCCAAGGAGATCCAGGCTAAAGGAAGAGGGGGAAAGAGGTGGGAAGCTGGTAAGATAATGCAGTCATTTGGGAGCAAGCGCAGTGCTAGCCTGAGATACACACCAAAAACAATAGAAATCTGAGTAAAAGGGACCACTAAAATCTTTATTCAGAAGTCCCTTTATCCTGCAAGACTCTATATGGGATATATACTGGTGCAGGACTGGAGCCTATGGCCAGAAAAGCAGCAGCTTTGTAGATAGTCTGTAGAATCTAACTGGCCTGGGGAAGCCAACTGAAGAGTGAGAACGGTCAGGGGAAGACACACAGCACTTTAATATCCTCTGTTTCTGCTTCTGTGACTATCACAGCTTCCATGGGGCTCTTACCTCAACCTCTCTCCCTTTCTTGCAGGTATAAGGCAGGAAAGAAAGATGGGACATATTTACAGAGCCAAAAAGTACATTTTTTCTTTAATGGCACCTTTCAATGGTGTGTCAGGTATAAATGTTACACTGTGTGCTTGAAATACCTCAGGGCTTGAGTTTACATCCTTTGTTTCTATATTTTTATTTTTCTATTTGTCATATTTATGAATAACAGAATGTTCCTTTTAAAACAGTCTAGAAGGGAGAAAGGCTGTCCCCAGAAGGGGAAAAATAAATTACATCAAAGGCTCAGAATCTCTTAATTCTTTTGCTTAAGATAATTCACCATTTCAGAAAATAGCTTTTTGCTGATGATACCCACAGACCAGCTCTGGTTCTCTCATGACCACTAGACCAAATTCTTGATGCACTTGTTCCATACGTGATGGGAAAGAATTCAGCTAAACTACATTTCTCATCAAAATGGTCCCTGCTGTCTAACAGGACTTGGATTTACAAGTCATGGGGTCTTTATGCTATGGAAACATGATGGAAAGAAATGGGATTTCAGAAAATGCGTGCATTCTGGTGCACATTTGTGTAGAATACACATCCCTCATCAGCTTTACCTCTCATTTCTCAAAGAGCCTCAACTCCCATCACTTTTCTGTTACTTCAGGACTGGAAATAGTGTTGCTGTTCCATGAAGCCAATTGAATCATAGAATCATAGAATCGTTAGGGTTGGAAAGGACCTTAAGATCATCTAGTTCCAACTCCCCTGCCGTGGGCAGGGACGCCTTACGCTAAATCATATCACCCAAGGCCTCGTCCAACCTGGTCTTGAACACTGCCAGGGATGGAGCATTCACAACCTCCCTGGGCAACCTATTCCAGGGCCTCACCACCCTAACAGGAAAGAATTTCCTTCTTATATCCAACCTAAACTTCCCCTGTTTAAGTTTTAACCCATTACCCCTTGTCCTGTCACTACAGTCCCTAATGAAGAGTCCCTCTCCAGCATCCCTATAGGCCCCCTTCAGATACTGGAAGGCTGCTATGAGGTCTCCACACAGCCTTCTCTTCTCCAGGCTGAACAGACACATCCTGCTGTCCTTTACATAGAGCTCTCTTCAAATCCTTCAAGCACAAGCTGTGAAAGTGAGACAGCCATGCATTAACGCTGCAACAGGCACTGCAGTTTCTGGGCCTAGCTTCAGGTACCCAGCTGACAGGGAGATGTTATATCATACACCAAAGAAGAGTTAGGCTTGTGTCACTGTTCACAGCCAATTAGCTACGGATGCCATGTAAAAGTCGGGCCTGGGACCTTATTCTGCCAACATCAGACCAGGAAATAGGGCCCCAATCTACTCTGTGCTTCTAGGAAAAACTCAACTGGGAGAATGACACTGGCAGCCAATCAGTGAGGGTCTTGAGCTGAAGCTAAGAAAGTTTCTCAGAGCAGAAAACTGACACAGCCGAAGCAATTTCCCAGATCCCAGGTACATCTGAGACTGCCCCTGCAACTGATTCTGCTCTAAGGAGATCACAGGACAGTACACAGCTGAGGTGGTTTCTCCCAAGCTAATACTGACAGAAAGAAAAACCTGTGAATAGTGTCACTGCCACTCAGAGCAGAACAGCCTTCCAGAGAACCAGTAAAAGCAGCCCATTAGGGCACACTGGTTCAGGTTCCAACATTATTGCCCTACAGGGATAGAAATTTACTGCAAACAAAGCTATGTCCTTCTGTTACAGTCCCTCATCATGACAGCATTTTATTTTAAACACATCTACATAAAACTGATTTCAGTTCCTCAAATGTAAGGCACTAGAATGTAATGACAGAATCAGAGTTTACTTGTTTACTGTTTCTTGAGCAAGTTAGAAGATGCCCACTCCTGCTTTTGAGACGCACTGACTAAAAAGGCAGCTTGCAGAACCTTCTGTTGCTTCCCCAGCCCCCCCAAACCCTCAGAAGCACAAAACCATCCAAGCGCCTTATGAAAACAGGCAAGAGTGGTATAAGAGGTCTTCTATATGTTTAGACTTGAAAAAACAAACTTTGTGCTCAAGTGTTTTGGGTCTGTGGGGTGGTTTCTTTCTTCATCAGTACATTTGTTTTTCTGAGCATAGCTACTGCTTATACTGTAGAGTTTACTGCTACATAGGTATAGGGGATATTTGCACTGCATATCAGGAACAGAATAATACCAGTTACTGGTTCACTTCTCCAACTTACTGGCATAATTTAAGCTGGAAATCAACATGTTATCAACTAGTAGATGTACTTTAACAGAATCCAGAGATGTAGCCTCTTTTGTTACCAAGTGCACAGTATATTTGCAGTTTTCTCTGTAACTGAAAGTCTTTTAACTCATTGAAGGACAGAAAGTACAACTGTTCCTTCCCTGACAAAGCTGGATAATTCTTTTCTAATGCTTTTAGATCACAGCTAGTTAAAAACTCCAGTTTCCATTGACTAGCTTGAGCAGCCCTTTTGAAATGCTCAGGTGTCACAGGCAGGGATATGCCTATCCAAACTGAATATATAGCGCCCATAGCTCACTGTGCTGCTGCTCTTTCATTACACTCTTCAAAGTGCAAGATCTTTGATATTTGTCAGCAGTACAAAACCATTTCCAAGCAACTACACCATGTCCTCAATAGGAAAGCTTTTCAAAGGTAACTAAACCCAAACCAGGGTCTAAACTTCCTCAAATACAGTTCATGCTCCAGAGTTGTATGCCAGGATTTCATTAACAAACTCCAATGCACCACATATATCAAAACTGCCCTATCAGTCAGCAGAAGTACCTGTTTAGTCCCATCCCTTGTACCTGCTTCAGAGGAAAGCCACAAAATATCCAATAACTCTGAAAGCACATCACACATATTTTCCTCATCCCCTGTCAGTTTGCTCTAAAGCATCGAAAGATGTAAATTGTTGATGTCCTTAATGTATGTCTAAGCATCATTATTCACATTTCACTTGTCTAATTTTAATAAGTAACTTACTTCAGTGGGAGCTTTGTTTCTTACAGGAGAACCTCAGCCGGTTTTGCTGTCATGCAGAGGTCATGCAGGTGCTGATGCTCAGCCCTGTAACAGCCCTGCAATGAAGAGTAATATTTCTTTATGCTGAAAGTGATAATTTTATAGCAAAATCTATTTCATATGTACTGAAAAAGAAATTGAGTTATCTTAAGCCTTAAAATGCTTTATTTTACAGCCTCTGGAGGCTACTGATTAACAGAATCAGATGCTGCTCACAGAAAATGTACATAAATAAAGCTTTTCAATTTTACTTTTTCCTCTGTATTGGTGCTCCTGCAACTAAGCTCTTCAAAATAAAAGCACTTCCAGTGTAACACATATGTTTACATGGTGCAAATTCTGATTCTGGACAGAACTGGCCTGTGAGTTTATGCTGCAAAGCCTGTGCCAGAATTACCTCGATGGCAGCTTTCTTTGAGAAACAAACAGAACAAACTCACTCTGCTACTGAAATCGGCTTTCCTTCGCCTTAGTCTCCTGTGTTCTGAAGCGGCGCGTTCTCAGCTTGAATGTGAAACATCTTTCTAATGACAGTAACCCGAAATAAACGACTGACGGAGCCCGCACCAGGCGCGGTCCGAACCAACACACCCCCCGCCCCCCCTCGGTGCCGCCACCACCCTCCCACCGCGGCAGGGCCGCCTCCGCCTCACCTCCTGCATCCCGGCGCTCAGTACACCGGCAGTCAAGGCCCGCGGGGCGTCCGCCCTCCGAGGGGCTCCTCAGGCCGAGCCGCGAGCACCGTCCGCGGGGCAGGGGTGGCCGGGCCGGGGCCGGGGCCGGGGGGGACGGGGACAGACCCAAACCGAGGAGCGCACCTCAGCTCCCCTCAGGTACCCGCGCGGCTGGGCGGCCCCACCCCCGGGGCGGAGCAGCGTGCAACGCTCACTTCTCATTGGCTATTCTCACTGCAGCTCGTGCGCGCCGCTCGTTCCGCATTGGCTACTGGTAGCGCGGGCGGCACGCGGGCGGTGCTGCGGCCGGAGGCAGCGGGGCGGGGCGGAAAGAGGCGGTACCGTGCGCGGGGCGGGCCCGCGTCCTGCCCCGCCCCGCCCCGCCCCTCTCAGCAGTGCCCTCCCCGCTGGAGCGGCGGGGACCACGAGGGGGGCGCCCCCTGGCGGCTGGGCGGGTGCAGCTGCCTGCAGCCATTCCGGGCGGAGCGAAGGCTGCGCGGTTGCGTTCTCAGGGCCCGGTTCCAGGCGCGCTGACGCGTTCGGGACCGTGGCTCCCCGCACGGGCCCCAGCGTGGGCACCGTCAGTGCCTGAGCACTTCTGCCAGGCTGCGGGCACCATGGATGCCGTGCTGCGCCCGCCCCAAGCTCCAGCGTGCCCGAGCTCCTCAGCATGGGTGCTGGTGGTCACACGAAGCCCAAGTGCTCAGCTCTAAGTGCTGAGCAGCAAAGACACTGGACAGAGAGAAGGACCCACGTGTGAAGCCTGTCCCGGGGAAGAGAGGCCTAATGTTTAATGTGACAGTAACAGCAGCGAAGAGGAGGCCAGGGATGTTTAAAGGACAAATTTGCCTCTGTGGGGGTTCTGTGACTGACCAAGTGCTCCTATGCTTCTCTGCGGCTTCCTCACTAGAATTCAGCTGTTGACAAGAGGGAAGGACACTGGGATTGTCTGCAGGACTGCTGCTGGTTTATGTGAAACAGCAACTTACAATAAATGTACGATAAAACACCTTGGTCATAAGGCATCATCACCTCAATGGATTGTTATCACTGGGTCTGAGGGTCATAGCGTTGAACACAAAGACCACTGAAAGGCCAAGGGAACAAAGTACCTCGGGGGCATGTAGGTGTGTATTTAAATAGGTGCAGGAACAAAACCCAAATGCCTTACTTTGGATTTTTCTTAAGCGTAAAAGAAGCCCAGAGAAGCTGCAGCTGCCCCATCCCTGGCAGTGTTCAAGGCCAGGCTGGACGGGGTTTGGAGCAACCTGCTCTGGTGAAGGTGTCTCTGCCCATGGCAGGGGGGTGGAACTGGATGAGCTTTAAGGTCCTTTCAACTCAAGGCAGTCTGTGACTCTGTGATTCCTGGTTAGCACTGCACACAGTTTGCCACAGATAGATTGACAGTTTATTGTCTGTCATCATATGCTTTGCATTTCATCTGAGTAAACTTTGGTTATCAGGTTAAAACTTCCTCTTGTTGGTCAGAAAATATTTTTCTGGACTGGTATGTTTCTGGACTGATTGATTGAATGGAGCAGGGATTAATTAACCTGTTTAATGCATGATAGTGGCACAAACAGGTTGTAACCAGTGCCATACTGTGGAGAATTAGAGCTGGAGAGTGAATATATCAGGAGGCTGAAAATTACCATTTAGATTTTGCTCCTGGACACAGGAATAAGGTTACATGTGACAAGTATGGTCAGAGAGCTGGTACCCAGCATCTGTGAGGTGCAGGTTAGTAACTTTTGCTCTTTGTAAGGGATTGCATGGGTGAATGAAATTGCACTTGGGGTGGGGATAACCTCAATGACAAGGAAACATTTGTTAGTTTATGGTTCTTTCTTCATCCTGGTCTGTACTGCTCCCCTGTGCAGGGCCAGAACAGGCCTGGGGCTCAGCTCACTTTAACACTCCCAAGAGCCCTGCTGACTTGTGTGGGGAAAAAGGTTTTGGCTGAGTTTCACTTTAAGTTCCCTGGTATTTCACTGCCCTTCTGGAGAACAGAGCAGCAAGAGCTGAAGCTTTGGTGCAGCAAGTTTTTCAAACAATATGTGCTTCAATAGAAAAGAGGCTTGAGGCTTGCTGCCCCAGTACAGAGACAACAGGATGTCTGAAAAACACGTCAGGCCAGCAGCAGAGGAAAAGAGCTGTAGTGTGCATAACCAACTGTATGTGCTTCATCAAAGTTGGCTACACTGGGGCCCTCAAAAAACCTGAATTACATAGATGAAACCTGAATTACATAGATGGAAAAATACCTTTGCTACTATGAAGGCTATAAATATATGTCAAAATCTAATTTAAAAGTTCAGTACTAAGAATATGCATTGCCTTTTTTAATCTCTGAAATACATCATCTGCCTCTGCCTCAGAGCATCTCTTCAAAAATACCTGGGATTTATGAGCAAACACTTACAGATACACTTGGTATGTTCTTATTCACTTATTAATTAACTTGCTCACTTATTAAACACTTATTCATACACATAATCATTTCTCCTTCTTACCCAAAGTAAGTTACAGGTGGATTCTAAGTACAAACCTGGAGTCCCATGACTCTGCTTTTGCACATGTCACAGGAGACGCGGTTAACTGAAGTAACTAGTGATCAACATCAGAATAAACACTTGTGCACACCCATTTGCAAACCCGTTATGAAATACACTTTTATTTACGTTTAGTTGTAAGCAGAGGTACATTCTGGCTACATTCTGTTGGAGACTTACATGTTACAGAGCTTCTGTGGTTTAGTGCAGTAGTTTGTCCTAACCTTCTCATTAACACAGTCACTATAGTCAGTGTTACATTTACCACACTTGCAGCTCACAGCCACAGGGTAGGAGTAATAAGGGATGGTGTGATGAGGACAGCCTGGAATCAGTGCTGTTTTATACAGCATCTCTTTATATGTGCAAACGTTCTGGGACAGAGCGCTTTTGAGTAGCAGCTTCTTGCCATTGCTGTCCTGTAAAGAAAAAAGAAATGCATTGTTTCACTGAAGCATCTACGAGTGTCAGAGACCTCTTTACACTTAGACTAGCGTGAACGCTTTCAGCATGCTGCTGTTTGGATCTGCAGTTTTGAATCTGTGCATGATTGGGGCTCTCTACCTCAGCAGTTCAAATCACACAAGCAAGGTGAACATATCTATCTGCTTGGCTCAGTGCTGACAGTGCTTTGTAAGCTTAGTGGCTACCTGCTAACCAAGGTGCAACATCAAATGCTACACTGAACAGTGAAGCTCCCATACAGTTTTTGGCATGTCTACTTGTGAGATACTCTCCAAGCAAGCTGTCATAGCAGTAATGGGAGTAGAAGTTACCCAAGGAATTTACATTAAATAAGTTACTAAATATGGTCTACTTCTCACCTGTTCAACCCTGACCCCCCAAACTGAGTACAGAGGCTCTGTAGTGGCAACAGCAGCCAGTTCTCTGCTGTGCTGCTGATGTTAGGAGCTCCCTAGCTCCAGAAGCTTAACATTTCTCCCCCATACCTTCACAACAAGCTAACTCCAAACCAGCATGACAGTGTGATTTTTCTGCCTGTGACAAACAGTATTAGATTTGTATCATTTACACCAATTTCCCAGTGAACATCACTTGTTCTGCAGTGATGGCTGTTACAGAAACAACTGCCTAAATGAGAGTAACCCTTGTACCCGAGTCATGCAGAATCCGGCACAGATGGTGGTGTTGATGGCCAGGCAGTAGGCACATTCCCTTTTCTCCACATGGATTATATACTCTGAAGGAGCACAAAGTGATGCTGTTTGACAAACAGTCAGGCCAAAGAGGAGAGACATCACGAAGAAGGGACTCATGCTGGATGGGGGGAAACAGACAAACAAAGCAAAGTGTCAGTAGAATTAGATGTACCTTCCAGCCCTCCTCTCAGAATTGACAAGAACAGTTATGACAGTCGTAGACTAGAAGTAATCTCCACTTTTTTAGCTGCAGCCAACATCTTTCCCATCTCAGACCTTTAATGGAAACAGTACTAACCATTGGCCAAAAAAGGATAAACAGGCCATCACTGACATACAATAAACTCACTTCCCACCCCACTAAAGCATATTACATGAAACTTCACTCACAAGTGATAAAATGCCGATACAGAAAATAACAGGAGCTAAAGGATTTTAAAATGTGCCATGTGAGAGAACATGAGCTCCAGGATTAACCAGAGATACCAAAATAACCTTGTGGGTTAAAAATAATTTTCTAAAGAAAGCATCTTATAAAATGTGCAAGAGAGAAAAGAAGCAGCTGTGCATAGCAGGCATTGTGCACCTCCCAGTTGGCTCAGAGGCATGAAGAGATGGGAACACTGCCAAGAGTTAAATAATAGATTCAAGCAAATTACAATAAAGAACATCAGCAAAGAGTTCAATTCAACATATCCCCGCTGTTGTGCTGACCTCACTCCTCATACCTGTGGGGGGATCCCGACAACAAAGCTTTGCTTAGCTCCAACACAACTCCAGGGTCTACCCTACATCCTCCAAATTACAGCCTTTAAATGACAGTGTGAACAAACACATGGACATCACCCTCTAGTCTCTTCCAGCTACCTGTTTCCCATTGCAAAAGCCATTCGTTCCACAGCCTGGTTTACCCTGTAGCTGCAAGTCTGGAAAGACCAACCTCTTGTCAGCTGAATTCTTCCCTAATACAGGAACCTGATTCTGCCTTGAGCTGGGAGAAGCAGTGACCCAGCACCAGATCCGTGTGTGCTTTATACTCCCCAGGCTAATTCCAGGCTGATCTTACTGTTTATATAACTGCATCTGAATTGCTGCTTTCTTATCGCAAAGTCATCTATTGAAAATTCATACTGAACCACAAAGCAAATGTGATAGGAACAAATGTCTCCGTAATATCCTAACCTGGAAACTGGAGCTGGAAATCTAATTATTTTAACAGTCATTCTCTCATCAGGCTTTTAAACTGGCCACTGCTTAAAATAAGTTATGTTTGATGAATTTAATCGCTACATAGGACGGCAACATCACGACAGGAAGGGTGGCATGGAAATGGAGTCATCCTGAATTACACAGGACTAATTCTACACCTGTGTTTTGTGGAAATTTAAGGAAGTGTGGCTCACCGTGTGCACTGGTTACCAGGCAGGTACCACTGCCAGAGCAGCACTACACACAGAGTAACAAATCTCAGAGCATTTGTACTCAGTGGGGTGGGTTTGGTGCAGCCTCGCTTATCTAATGAAACAAAACACACAGAGAAATTATCTGGCCTCTAATATATGGAGCAAATAGTAGGTAACAAAGCGATTTGCTCTGGAATAGCAATTGATGGGGGAGAAGCTTTGAAGAAACCACTTGTGTAGCACAATGAGAAGCAAAATACTTCACTAACAGTAGTGAAACTGAGATGTCCACATGGGGGAAAGCACTTATTTTTAGGATTTTGTGTGTGGAAAACCTGAGAGAAAGAAAAGTAAGAAAAGTTTGACAAAGCCACTGACCTATGCTGCTTCATCAGTCTGAGCAGCCTTCTTCCTGTGCT